TCCCACTGCCTAAAACACAGTTCTGATCAGAACTCATTCCTTGTTCAAAAACCTTTAGTAGCCTCACCCTCAGGTCCATACCTTTACTTTCGAGGTGTTTTACAATCTACCTTAAACCTAGTTTTCTGCCAAACTCATTCAAAGCCAAACTTAGCTCAATCACAAAGCATAGTGGGACCTCAGTGAGATAGAATCTGAGAGGGAGAGCAGCCAGCGTTTATCCAAAGGGATCCAGTTTGGGAGTTGGGGCAATGCTCTTGGGCCCTGGTGATGCTCAAAGTGAAGTGGGGCTTTGCCTGCACCTAGGAGCTGAGCTCTCGTCCTCACGGCAAGATTCTAGGCAGAGGATCAACCACCGTGCCCCAGCCAAGCAGCTTACAGTAAAAACAGCATGAGAAGACCACCTAGAAGTCCAGAGAGTCTTGGGAATGGAGGCAAATTTCCAACCCCTATGTGCAGTGTAGGGACAAGCTAGGAAAATTATAGAGGAGAAAAAAAAAGTGGTAAAGCACTTATTTGTGAGGAGTTCAAACAGCAAGAGCCTGATTCCTTATCTTGAAAGCTGAATACAGCCACAAGAATAAAAAAACACTTAACCGAATTTGAACAAGTTAAAAGATTAGATGAGAAGGCGGCCATTTGGGCTGGATGGACTAGATTAGCAGTACAGATTCAAAGGGAACAGGTCCCTCCCTTTTACAATATATGTTCCTTTTTAAAAGGTAATTCTAACCCAGACTCCATGCCCACTCCCTTATACATTATTCCCCTCAGGTCTCATGCACGCCCACCTATTCATCACATGTGGGGACATGGTTTCCTTGAGTCCTAAATAATCATGATAAATCGGTTAATGCTATATTGTAAATGATTGCTGAAACACAGTAAAAGGCCTGGTGAGATTCCAGACGGGGCGACTCTCCCCGCACATTTTTACATTGGTCAAAGGGCTTGCCTCTCCGAGTCTCATTGGTCATTAGCCCGGCAATAGCTTGGTGTGAGAATGTCACACCAGGCAATAACTGAATGTGAGACTCTTTGTCACGCCGACCTCTTCCACTTTGGCCAGGTTCCAAGGAAGTCAATGGGGGGAAAACAGAGACAGAGCAGAGTGACGGGACGAAGGAGCAGGGAAGAAAGCAGGCTGCACAGCGGTCCGGGCTTCAGCAGGCAGGGGCAGCTCTGGACCCCGAGAGCAGACCATCAGCTGTTTGCCTCTCTGTTCCCTGGCTTCAGGTATACTTCTTGCAAATAGTGCTAGCTGAATTGCTTTGACATACCTCTCTAGACTTTCCTCTTTCTCTAGAAAGGTGCTGGGTCCTCTGAAGTTTTCTACATTGCCTGGCCAAATGGAGTTTTCACAGCCACAACAGAACATGGGAGGGGTGTCTTAGGCATAAATCTCCATCTCAGGCATTGAGCGGGATGTTTTGCCAGCTGTGGAAATCTCTCCCAGAGATTCGGGAACAGTAAGGGATGCTTAGCCTTATCATGTGGCTGGAAGGCATTCTTTTTTCCACTTTAATGAGCCCAAACTCCCTCCAGTTCAGAAACATTAAATGAATGACCCACCATGGTGCCACTGTCAGAAAACTGAGCTGTCTACCACTGTCCTGGGCCCATCCACCCCTAGCAGCATCTGTGTCAGCATCCCTTTCCAGATTTATTCTTTTTATTATTAATAGCTAACATTTACTGAGTGCTTACTATGTGCCAGGCACTGTGCTAAAGGAAACACATTGCCTCATTCTCAGGCGGTTTCTGGGAAACTGGGCAGGACCCTAAAGTAAAGAGAAAACCTTGAGGAATTATGGGAGCATGGGCTTGTACAGGCTGGGGCCAGCCGGAGAAGACTGAATCCAAAAGATGGTTTTGCAACTCAGTCTCTGCTTCAGCCCTGCTGTTTACCTCCCACTGACTCTCAGTGGGTCTGGAGTTCGGTGGTGAGCAGGGGCATGGTGGGCAAAGGTGGGGGTTGTGCCGGCCTGACCCATGCATGCTTCCAGCCTCTGCGGGGTCTGGTAGCATCCGTGCTGTGTAGGATATTGGGGGGCTGCAAGAGGGCCCCCCTGCACCTCCTTTTACTTTATCCCAGGCCTCTCCAATCTCCCCACCCCTCCAAGGGTTAAGTGCTAAAAATTCCTTCTATGGGGTGAGCTTTCATTCTTTGATTCACTCCAAACATAGCTCTAGAGAATGTAACAGGATTGCTTCCTATTTACAAGAAAAGATGAATGACTCAGGAAAACTTTCTAACCAGGAGTAGGAAAAAGATGTCCTGGAATCCTGGCCAGGTGAAGGAGAGTGGGGAGGAAAGGGGGCACAGTAGGAAGCTGAAGAGCCTGCAGGCAAACCCTGCCAGTCAAAGCACTGCAGTCTGAGGCAGGTTGGTTAAACAGCCTCCCATGGGAAGGAACTCGGAGTGATGACAAGCACAGCCAAGTTCACATCTCTGTTGATGAGAGTCTGACTCTTGGCTCATGAAGCCTGGGGCAAGAATTGAGCAGGACCCCTGGGAGAGCAGCTCCATGCCCAGAATTGTCCAACAATTGCATAAGCAGTGGCCTAGTCAGCTACTCATCCCAAGCACCTTGTTCCCAAATTTATGTTTTGAAAAGGATTTCTTTTAAAATGTCTTTGAAATTTTGTGTAATGTATCCAACAAGGCCTTTGAAATGTAAAGATTTGTGTATTTAGGAAAGCACAAGGAACATTGCCTTCACTGAAAAAAAAAAAAAAAAAACCCACAGAAAGTAGTACTGTCCCAGACAATTCAGCATGTCTGGTCGTCAGAGACGTATACCCACCATGCTGTCCTTCCACAAAGAACGGAGCTAACTCCAAACACTATTTCTTTAGCAATAACCCCATTTCAGAACACTCCCTCCCCCACTTAGTTTACCTCCCAATTTTCTTGACAGTACATGAAGGAAGTTGGAATACAATTGGGGGGGGGGTGTCACTCCTTTATTGTGTTGAAGGTTGGGAGGTGGACAGCAAGATTCTCTCATCAGCAATGGGACAGAAGCCAAGTGCAGGCCAACTGGGAGGGCCGAGGGAAGGTCCTCCATCTTGGTTTAGACAAATGGCCAACGCCAGGAGTCCAGGAAGCAGGGAGAAGCAAAGCAGAGCCCCAGTCCAGGGCAGAGGGGCAGGTGTCACGACTGAGGATAGTCTCAGCGGGGCTGGGGGCCAGAGGAGCAGGCTGTGGGCCGGTGGTCAGAGCAGAGCTACTGTTTTTCAGGAAAGAGTGGGGATGACACAGAGGAGTGGTGAGAGGAGGCTATTCCTCTGTTGTGGCCCACAGAAGCATGCCCTGGGTGAGCAGGGCACAGCCAGAGTATTTACCACATGGCTCGTCTGGAATGAGGAAACTTGAGCAGGGGAACTGGGTGCCCATTGGTGAACCCAGAGGTTAAACAGGTTTAAGCAGCCCCAAAAGGCCACAGGGTAGTGGAGAATCCATGACTCAAATAGCAGCTGCGGAATACTCGTGGTCAGTTCGGGGGCACCAGACCCCAAATTAGACTTCCAAGGGTGGGCAGTGAGTTGATACTATACTTTGAACAACTGGGCAGTGCTGTGGCTGCTCGATTAAGAATTCCTGTCTCAGATGTGATTGGTCTGAGACTGTGTCAAGGTTGAGTGTGCTGATAACTCAGCTGTCAGGACCTGAGGAAGGCCAGGGAAGGTCAGGCCTGGGGACAGGAGCAAAGGGTAAGGGGTTTCATTCATTCAAAACTTACTGCACAGAGCTGAGTGCCATGGCATCAGAGGACAGGGATAGGAAGATGAGTAAGACATGGTCCTTACTCTTGAGAGGTTCGTGGTTTTTTATGGCAGATACACTGGGATAAATAGAAACTCCAGTGCCTAGAGATGCTTAGTCAAATTCATGGTGCCTTAAAATTATTATACAAAAGCAGATTTCTAGTGCTTACATTTTACTCCTATAATACTCTATAGCTTATGTATATCAAATGCAGCCATCCTTGGACTATTCTTCTGAGGCATTGAACTTCTTTTTAACATTCCACCTTCAACTCATCTCCAAGATGCAACATAAGCTTTAGTTGTCCATAAAAGCAGCTAGTAACGGGGAACTGTTTTGGGTTGGATATCAAGGAGGTGGAGGTTTTGTTTCATTTTATAGTTTTAGCACCAAATGATTAAAGAAAATCAGAAGTCACTTTAATAATTACTTTGGTGGTTTCAGTTGAACAACTGGAGGGCAGGCAGCCATCTGAAAGTAGGTGGAGACCTGGCCAGGGCAAAGTTAGGGGGAAGGTGTTGGGCCCATGTGATGATGAGGGGCCCTAGAGGGAGTGTGTGGGAATAGGCCACCTTCAATGGAGCAGTGGTACCCAAGTCTGAGCTGCAGCGGCCCAAGAATCCCAAGGAGGTTTTACAACATCCTCAAAGAAGGGACATTTGCAGAATCTGAGACAGCTTGGTTTGAAGAAGCCTCAATTCCAGTAGGTTCAGTTTTCTGCAGACCCACCCTGCTGTGCCAGAGGAGAACACGAGGGCGTCCAAGGTCATTGCGTTGGCAGTGCCTCTTGGAGACAATTGTGCTAACCCCGAGGTAGTCTTTAGCCTTCCTCTTCTCTCTTGGCTGAGGAGCCTCGGTTTCTTGTCTTGTTTTGCTCGGGGCTGGTCTAGAGGGACTGGGAAGAGCACAACAGGCAAAGGAAGGGCTAAATTCTGAGCTCATTCCAAAAGGCCTGTTTTGGGTTTGGAGCCCATTGCTACATACAGAAGGTATCATCTGGATGAGCCATGTACAGGGGGATGTCCGGTGCACACCCCACTCTTGCTGACTCTGACCTCTGTCAGTGGCATCACCCAGATGACAGTGTAGGTAGGATCAATCAACAGCCCCTTTCTGCTGGAACTGGCCTCAGTGAAACCAGAGTGGCTCCTCTCGACCCCTCCAGGGGCCTCCTAGAGGTCTATTCTGAATCTGCTGTGGCTTACCTGTCTCGAGATCGCCCGGGGTAGTGCTCACGGCAGCAGCACATACACTAAAATTGGAACAATACAGAGAAGATTAGCATAGCCCCTGCGCAAGGATGACGCGCAAGTTTGTGAAGTGTTCTCTATTAAGAAAAGATTTCCCAGGATCAGGGGTCAACTTCTCCCTGTACTTGAGGCAATATAGCTCCTGTGCATGGATTCCTGCCTTTTATTTCCTTCTGGGAGATTTCCATCAACCTTCCACTGGTTACCTGCTGCACACGTACAAATCAACACGTCTGCTCAGTGAAAGAAGCTGGGAAACCCTGGATGCAGTGAGCGTGGAGCAGAAGAGGTGGTTGCTTCTTAAGAGGGTACACACAGTGGAAGGGGCTTTGCTTTTCTTGAGGGGGATTCGCCTTTGCTATCCAAGGAGCGTGCCCTTAACACAGCGGGCTTTGGGTGCACTTGACTTTGCAATGCAATGTGCTAAGTGAAATAAGAAGTGCTTTGTACCCTGCTGGCTAATTAGGAATCAACCTTCCAGGGGAAAACAAAACCAAACCCAAGATACATAGATAGATAAAAACAAGGGCCTGATGACAAGCAGTTTAATTTAGTGCTGCCTGTCCTTTATTTTAGCCCACCTCACTTGCAGATGTGTGTCTGTCCCAGGCTTGAGGAGGGAGGGGCTTCTGGGCAGAGGATAGGTGGCTGGGAGGGCCCAGGTAGAAGAAGGAGGGAGACAGGGAGAGAAGGGCCCCACAGGTCAGGAAAGAGGGGAGTGGGGACTGGCTGGATTTATGAGTGACAATTTTGCTCATTCGAACTGTTGTACTTTGCCAAAACACCACTGTTGGCTTATAATTGTGTTGCGATTAGGAAATTACCCCCATTTTGTTTACTCATGTGGATTAGAAGACCCCAAATTTGGTGGGTTCCCGTGGAATTTGTTCCGTGTGGATGTGAATGTCTGCATGTTCTGGGGACACACTGCCGTGTGAGGTCAGGAGGTCACTTGGCCTCTGTTTTCTTCCACACTCTCCCCTGCCCCCCAATCATAGTCGCTCTTATTCCCCACCCCGCTTCCCTGTCTTCTCTCACCCAGTCAACTAGTTACAGATGAACGCAGTTAATACTCAAGACTCCTCAGGCAGTACCTGGAGGTAAATTACCAGCTGTGGAGAGAGGGCCAATCAGAGCCAAACAGCCAAACATGGTGGGAAGAACACCCTGGTTCTTTCTACAAGAAAAGCAGAGAAATTGGACCACATTGGGGTGCTTAATAGGCTCTGATCTTTTGTCGTGTTAATTATCACACAAATTGCAGTCCTGGAGCTTCCTGCCTTGACTATCTGTTAATTAACAAGATGAGTGGCACATCTGTGACCGTTCTGCAGCCCAAGGGTGGTCGGTGTATTGTACAAGTCAGAGGCAGGCCTTCCTGGAAAAGGGGGTTGCTGTGGCTCCCCATGGCAGTCTGGCTGGGAGGAGCTTAGGGGTTTGCTAGGGGTGGAAGCCAGATTTTCTGTGGTGGGGAGTGGGAATGGCAAAGGGGAAGAAAAGGGAAAGGGCATTCAGGTAGAAGAGATGGGACAGGGTTGTGACAGGTGACTTGTCCTGGGCAGCTGGGTCAGGCCCACTGTGTGTGAGAAGGAAAATCTTTCCCAAGAACCCAGTGATACCATCTGTCTGGACTTTTAGGTGATTCTTGGAGAACCGGAGGGTGAACTTGTGGGTGTGTGCATGAGGACAGGAATCCCCAACACAGCCAGCATACAATCCGGCTGGGAAGCAGGGTGGCCAGAGGTCTTTCTACTGACTAGGGATGTGGTGACTGGTGCCAAAAGAGAGAATGTACGTCATGTCTTAAGGCCTCTATCCACATGTAGCAAGGCCAGAAGAAGGAGCCAGACCAGCCAAGGCCTCTGTGACCACGTGTTCTCGCCTCTTGGAACCTGGTCTCTTTGTCTCAGGTCTTAGCACTCCAGAGGTCCTGTGCACTGTGACAAAAATTTTTCAGAGGTCAGAGAGGCAGCCAGCAGAGGGGTCAGCTTGGCTGCAAGACCCTCTGGCCAGCTGAGCAGCCAGCTGTGCCCCTGGGAGGGCACTCTCCTCCCCTCCCCTCCGGCCTCCCACAGTCATCTTGGGGTTCAGCCTGAGGCGGCTGTGCTTGCCTGCCCTCTGCTGCCCAAATCCGATTCTGTAATAGTGGCTGCTGGGCTGGATGGCTGGTGTGACTTCTCCAGAGCAGGCCTCCTCTCCTGCCTTGTGTGCTCAGGCTTCTCAAAGCAGACTTCTGCCCAGCACATGGCATCTGCAAAGTGAAGTGGGTTGGGGAAAGCAAGCTTCTGCAGCATTGGCTGAGCTCCTGCTTGCCGCCCTAGGAACCTCCAGAGAGAGGTTTGAGAATACCCGGGGCAGCCCCCTTCTTACCTACTGGGTCATGTATCTCCCCAGCCACTTGGCCTCTTTTGAGGCACAGAGTTGCAGTCACTACACTAGAACCTTCCTGGGATAGGGGTGGATGCTCCCAGCTAAGGCAGAAGAGGCTGGGTAGTGAGGAGGCTGTGTAAGCCTTCCAAGAAATGGTGTCTGTTGAATTTTCAGTCAGAAGAGGCCAAGACCTAGGAGCTGTCCCCTGACAGCTGGATAGTAGGCAATAAACAACACCAGGATCTCTTGGATGTTCAGTCAGAGGTGGCATCTGGTTGCTGGTTTCCCTGATGAGAGGTGTCTGCAGTGGCGGTCAATTCTCCGGAGGATGTCTTGGGGTTTAGGTGTCAGCATACCATATCTCCTTGATCTGGAAGCAGGTGCCCACTGCTGTTGGTTCCCACAATAAGACAGCAGCTGTCCCATTCCTGTGGCTGGAAGAGGGAGCTGACATGGGCTGGGCAGCTTCTTGGCAGTGGTGGGGTCAAGTTGTGGGAGCTCTGTGGTCCAGGTACCTGTGCACAAGTGGCCTGTCTCAGTGTAGGACCCAAGATGGCTTTGGGTTACATGCCTTCACGCAAGAAATTGTATGTCCGTGCTCAATTTTTTTCCCCAAGTTTCACATTGGAAATTTTGTCAGAGTAAAGGGGTCAAGCCTACACTGAGTGCTGACAAGAGGCCCCCAACAACCATTGCATCTCTTACCTCCACTCAGGCAGAGAACTTGGAGCCTGTCAAGGACGAGTAACCAGAGTGGTTCTTGGGTCACCTCTCCATGGGTAGGAAGTAGACAAGAGGCAGGTGTGGGGCCTCCCGTCCTTGAGGTAGGAGCTAAGAATCCAAAGCAAATGTCTACAAGGTAGAGAGAACCAAATCAGGGCCAGAAGAGTAGAGAAACCAGGCGATGGATAAGAAGGACAGGCTTTTATTTTTAGATCTAAGGCCAAGTCTACAAAGCATGCTTCCGGGGAGGGTCCCAATCACATGGGGTCCAGAGCCAGGGAATAGTTTGATCCCCTAAGACCCATGAAGTCTCTCTTTTTTCCCTTTGACTTAGAACCTTACAAAAACATTTCATTGTATTTTAAGTTCAAAAGCCCTGTGCAAAGTACTTCGAATTGGGAGAAGAGAAGAATAAGATGGTTTCTGTCCTCAAGGAGCGTCCTGCTCAGCCTCTTTCTTCCTTAGCCTTCTCCTGCTTCTCCCTCTTCTTCCTTAAACCAGCAGTCCCCAGGCAGAGACTACGCACCCGGGAATTTTTTGTTTCTCTTGCTTTTCTCTACCTCTAATTCCTTCTGTCTATGATTCTTTCCCTTTCTGCTTCCGTTTCCATCCCCAAACATAATCAGCAAAGAGAAATTTGGGGGGTTAGAAGGAAGAAGGGGCCTTTCCAGGGCGACAGGCTTTGTTGGCACACCCGAGTTTATTCTGTGACGTTTGAGTGCTCCGTGTCCATTTTCACTCATAGCCTATGGTCAGGGGAAGTCGGTGTTTTCTCTCCTCTTGTCGTGAATTTCCGCTGAATATCAGCTGCATCCTCCTTGCACGGGGTGTCAGTTTTTTCTCTCGTTACCAGCATAGATCTCTATTTAAATAAATTCTAACTGGTCTTGAGGCTTTCACCAACTTTGTAGACGAGTTGATACCAATCTGGCAGGGCCAGAACCCGATCTCCCAGTCTCCTGCCCAGCCCCTGCCCCAGCCCCCGGGGCTTCACCTCGCCTCTCCCTTACAGTGGGTTCAATCAAAGATGCCTTTCCAGTCACAGGGAAGGCATGGAGGCTTCTATAATGGCAATCACTTTGAAAGCTAGGAAAGGAGTGAAGCTCTGAGATCTTTTTGCCTCTTCCCTTTGTTTTAACTCCTGAGTCTTCGGTCTCTTATATGCTTACTTCTCATCCAAGATGGGGCCACAGAGACCTTGAAGGGTGGGGAGGTCCAGAAAGAAGCCATACGAGAGGGAATCATGTCGTGGACTGACATGGGGAAGGGTTGTGTCTAGCTTTATTTTGACCCTAAACAAGAAGCTTGGAATGCCACCATGCCTTTGAATCTTAAAGGAAGTTAAGATTTCTTTCATATAAAAGTGTATTTCTAAAATGTAGATGTCCCTAGGAGGAGCAGTATTTAGCTGACAGTAAATTCGAAGAGAGGGTCTCAATGGGCAGAGTTAGCACAAAAAGAGAAAGGAAGACCTCCCGCCACCCAGTCAAACCTTGCCTACTTAACCAGTTGCATTTATTTTTGTCTCTTGGCTAATGCTGTCTGTGAATACAGGGACTGAGACAAAACACAGAAAAGATTTTTATCCAAGCACCTTCCCCAGACCCCACCATGTACATTCCTGGACCTGAAGCAGTGACGACTTGATATTCATACGTAAAGATATCTGGCTGAAGGCTCAGATTACTTCAGATTTCCAACTTACATTTTCCTAAGCATACCATTGTTCTCTAAATTTTCCTTAGGAAAAGACTAAAGTAGCTCCACAATCCCCACATGTCTTCATACTCCAAACTGCACTCAAGTTCGCCTGTGGCAGGTACCAGTGTGTGTGTGTGTGTGTGTGTGTGTAAACCCATAGTCACAGCATATGTCTAGGACCCCCACCAGGAGCCAAAGTTTCGGAGAGCCTAGTGACAATGGAACTCCCATCAAAGGGACTCGTGGCGTTACTCTCTGTCCACGGGAGCGTACGCACAGATCTTTTCTCCT